AGAATTAGAGAAGAAGAAGAAAGTAATAGCATGACATCAACTCAAAATACACAAGAAAACCTGGACGAAAAGACATACATTGTTCAGCATACTAGGGAACGTATTTACAACCAAAAAAGGAATGGGCTTCTGCATAGATCCACAGGATAGAGGACGGAACTATTGTGAAAACAGAGAGAGGCTGAGAAGGAGTGACAGAGGGAAATATTTGTGTACATACCACTTGGTGGTGGGTGCACAGGGGGTCGGGGGCAAGAGGCATACATAGTCTATATGTGCAGGGGTAAAACACAAAAAGGTTTTTGTAGGTTGGTGTGTGTTATGCAATGTGACAGGCCATACCCTATGACTGCTACAGACCATTGTCAGGGATCTAGATGGAATCTACTGTATAGGACCCTACACAATTTCTTCTCAGTATAATGCAGTAAAAAAATCGACAAACCAAAACACACACACAAAAAAAGTTATCACAGCAGAGTAACTGTTGCGTGCATGCCTGCATTATCAACAAAAGTCAAATTAGAGATTTACATTAAGTCAAATCTAATTCTATGAATTTTTGGAAGAAATCTTGCACACAAAAATGTCCATCCTTGGTGCAAACATGTCTGAAGGGGAATGAAGGACAACAAATATGCACAGCATTCGCACCCATGTAGCACACAGTAAGGATGCATTACTGCATGTAAAGCAGACATGGCCTCTGCATGACTTTTGAATGCAGGTTTACTGTATGAATACATGTCCAACGGTTGGCTCGTGATGGTTGTTCCATCAAAGCATGGCCGCTGACATGATAGGCAGAATGAAAACACATGTACGTCTTAAAAGATCCCTTACATGTGCTTGTGGTGAAGGTTGCATGGCACATTTCTATGACACTGACAGACCCTGTTTTTTCCTCCTGTTGCCCATCGAAAAGCAGCATGTCATATCAGATATGAATTGGGTTTATTTTACTCAGTATAAGGTATGCTTTGGCACCAGATTCACATCATTGTCCACTTCACTCACCCTGGCCTTCTCTGCACTGCCTCTGACACCCGTTTTTTCTCATTTCAGACAAGGGTTGGGGAAATATTCTACTAGACAGTTTAGGGAAAACATAGATACATTTACTCTAGTCTGTTTTGGGTCCTGGGGCGGTGACACAGTGATTACACATTGTACAGTACAATGGTTTCATACTACAGTCCATGCAGCTTTAGGGCTGCAGTGAATAATGGGACAACTAGTGTAGCAGATCCCTGTGGGTGTAAAGACAGTGGAGGTTTGCCACACCTGTCCTGCAGGCACCAAGGTCATGGCAATGCTAATGAGCTCTCCAGAGAACATTGCAATTAGCAACAGACACAAACACACATCTCTGCATGTGCATGTACGCAGACGTACACACATATACAGTACAACAGTGCACTTTTACCCACAGATCCATCACTTTTTCTTCCCAAGCTCGGCCTTCCTGATTCCTGTGTATCTGACAGTCCTTGTGTGGTAGGTCCTCAGCAGCAGAAGCAATATAAAAGAATAAAAATATCTCCATCTACTGGTGGCCAATAGTATAGCAGCATTTTTCTGTCACTGAATGCGGTCATCCAAGATGGGCATGGGTGTGCTGTGCTGAATGACAATGAGCAGCTATTTATTTCATGCAAGCAGGAATGGTAAAGTGTAGAGTGGGGCAGGGTCTTAACAGCATAAGTGTCAAAATAAGCCAATATATTGGTTATACAGAAATGGATTGAATAACGATGAATTTTAAATCCTCATATAAGCTGTATAATAAAATTCTTGACATCAGATATTGGATTGGACATCTCGTTTAAGTAATCAACATACTCAGTGTGGAAAAAAAAAAAAAAATGCATTCAGCAACATCTGTTTATTGTTGAATACCTGATCTCACAGCCTTGTTCATCAAAGAGACACAAAATAAAAACTAGAAACTGAAGAAGAGGTCAGCCCTTAAGGTCACACCATTCCTTTCTGTTCACACGCTGGTCAACATTTAAAAGCTAAACATAAGTATCAGCTGACTTAGATGATTATCAGGTTTTGCCAATAGTGCTTACACAAACAATGACATGCTCCTCTCTCTGGATTTGTTTCTGTTCGTGCTCTCCTACCTCTGTACTTCAGGAGAATGAGCCATGATTTTACCCTTTCTCTGCTAACAATTTGGAGTGTTTGAGTGTGTTTGACTGTGTTGATGACAATGTACTGTATTTCTTAATAAGCCCTTTACTTAATGAGATTAGTTTGATGTTTTGAGGAGAAAAGTACAAGACAGTGGGCATGCTACAGCAGCTGATTCGGGATAAGGTGTGGTGCTTCTACAGGTAGTGGGGCAGTCAACAAAAAAGAGGCTGTCATAACCTTACAGAGAGCCTCCACATGCAGTTAATGAGAATAGATTACACAGTTTGATTCAAAACAAAGTGAACATTTTTAACAAATTGTCTCTGTGTCGGTGAGATGTTGAATGTCATTCTACAACTTTTTGTGTGGCCCGGGAGTGGGGGAAAAATGTTATATACCTATTAGTGGGTCAGGGGATTTCCTTTAACGCTACAGCAGGTAGCAGGCTACCTTTCTTAGTGACATGCTGACATTTTATGGTCATCATAATTGATTGGGAATTGCAGTTTACCAGGTATGAAAAGTCCTTAAAGGTAACATCCAGTCAGTATGTTTCCTGGGAATAAAAAAGGCCTGAGGTTAAAATTACACCACAAATATATTTTTGGTTCAGGGGAAAACAATAAATTGAGTTGTTGTTTTCGAGTAGTGGTGATGGGATATAATCATTTATTACTCATGCTGCTGTCACATTTGATTATTAACCTGCAGCAGGAAAAGAACCAAAGCTGTTGAGGCAGAGGGAACAGAGGGATTTTTATGTTGCAGACATTACTTGGACTGGATGGTACCTTTAAAATCTAAAATAACAAAAGCATCTACGTCTGGAGCAATAGTGCTAAATATATTGGTCCAGTGCTAATATTCCAATGTCAGTTAACTTTGCTGACCCATGTGGCTGAAAAGTAACCAGAATCTGAATGGGATTTTGGTTAAATGCCTGAAATAACATCTTTGGTTACGACAAGCTTAAGACAGTCACATTTTGTTCTGTGAGATAAAATCATCCTATTCATGCTTTTTTTTTTCTTTTTTTTTTTTACCATCATGTGAATTAAGACACTTACTGACAACTGGCTAACTGTTTAAAAACTGAATTACAGAGGATCTGTTGGGAGAATTTGATTATCCTGTCTTTGTAAATGAAGGTTATTTTAGTTAGTTTACCAACTAACTATAACTAGTATCAATGGGTGATGAACCAAACATTTATACCAAATTAAAGATTCACTGAGGCTTCTTATTTTGCTCATGTCAATATGTTCAGTAAAAGGGATCTAGTAATGTCTTTCCTTCATCTTCATTCAAAACACAGCAGTGTGCAGCGTGATGAGTCCTAACTCTGATGCTTTATTTTAGCGTCTCTAGACCATGAGCACTGCACATATACTCTAATCTGCAAAGTATGGTGGAAGTTAAAATAATCACTATTTCAGCCTTCGTGATTATCGAGGTAAATATATTTTGATCATATGCCTCAGCCCTGTCATAGTGTTAGCCTGAAGCTTAAAGGATCATAGCCTTGACCATTTTTTCTATTGGTTATATTTGACTGAGATGTGGGAACATTTCAACTAGGGGTCAGATGATCAGACATATTAATTTAATATTTATGATTATTATTATTTATTTGTAATGATTTCAAAACTAAAAGTGAGTGCACCTGAAATGTCCCAAACAATCCTTCAGGAAAACTGTGTGCACATACTCAGCCTTCATTTCATCCTCCAAATATGTTTGGCTAATCTGGGGTCTGTTTAAATTGTCTGCTCGTGTTTCTTCCCACGTCAGTCTTCATTTAATCATTGTCAATAAACATGGTGCTGTGATCGCAATTATTGGTGAAAACCAAAATACGGCCCAATTTGTAATTAAATGGAGGTAACCTTTGCGACTTTGAGTGCTGATGACACTGGAGGAATGCATCCTGTTTGTTTCCTGATGCTTTTCACAGTTTAGCCAGGTGTTAGATTTTTACTGATGCTAATTACCGAAATGGTTTGATCCTTGTAAAAAAAACCAAAAAAAACAGTAATAATAGATGAATATTATCTCACAAAACAAACTGAGGAAAAACCATAAACCTGTGTTAAACATAGAGCTTATTATGGACATCAGAACCACATTCAAAACCCAGTTAAGTTTTAATGGGATTGTGCCCAACAAACCAGCACAGCAGAGCTAAGTGACACCCGGAAGGTTGCAGGGGGGGGGGGGCTCCATAAAATTTCATCTCTACACCAGTCTGTTAGGTAGACTATTAGGGTACTTGTCAGCAACACACACACACTCATTCTCTCATACACACATACAAACATGTGTAAAGACATGCAGACACATGCCCACACATGCCCACACATGCTCTCTCTCACACACACACACACACACACACACAGTCTTGAAACACAAACTGTCACACACACACACACAAACTTGCAGCTAATTGTTTTTTTTTGTTTTTTTTTACACATTATCTGTCTTATTTAGAGAACACATTTTCTTCCTGTATGAGAGACCCAGAAACAAACACAAAGGATGAACATTAGAAAGAGAATATGATTGTGTTATTCCATAGTCAGCCAGTGCAACAGAAACCAATAATTGGAACACAGTGTAAAAAAGCGTAGTGAGAGAAACTCAGCCATGAGGAAGCCGACCTTCCCACTCAACAAAGGCTGTGGCATTGTCCCCTTTTCCTAGCTAAGGGACTGGTTGAGACCCTTAGTATGTCTGTTTGTTTACTTATTTATTTATTTTGATTGATTTGTGTGTCTTTCATCTCAAAGCGTCCCACATTTTCCATTTGCCAGAAAGCGTTGCAGAATGTCCACAGGCACACAGCTCCTGTGCCTGTATTTTTCCACAACGGTTGCCATGGTGAGGGAATCCCCCACCCCAACAACCTCACCTCCTCCTGGCAGCTCTATCACTCCTCATTGGCAGGGCTCTCCTCCAGAGGCGTGATGGCGGGGAGGCCCAGTCCTGTTGCATTGTGGGATGCAGTGAGGCTGGCAACAGTGTGTAGGAGGACGAGGACCAGCAGGCAGAGTTTGAGCCGGCTGTTACACAGTCTGCAGGCTGCTGAGGAGCTGAGGGAGGTACGATGCTGGCATGGCGGGTGAGTTCTTTTCAGGGTCCCCCGGGATCGGTTGTCCACTTTCAAGTCCCACCGCACGTCACAGCACTCTGCATCTGGATCCACACCTGATGGATAGTCCTCCAGCAGCCCTGGGGGTTAGGGTTTGGGGGGTGGTGGGGGGGGGTGGAGTATAAAAAGTTAGCTCACAGCTCATACAATGTCTTAAAGATGTGGCATGAAACATTTCTTTTTAATAAATCCTATACTATCTTCCTGTGAAAAAAGACAAAAAGTAATGCAGCTCATCCAGCTTCCCTGACAAGCACAGCTTTGATAACCTAAAGACAGAAAAGACAATAACAACAACAGTCAGAGAAAATTAATTAAACTTGATTATTCTCAGGTTGAAATTATGGTTGGAAAGCACCGTGGTCAAGAGAGCTCAACCCATTGCGAAAGGAAAAACACAAGAAAATAATCAAACACATTCACAAATTTGACAACACCTGCACATACACACATAAAGAAACACCACAAGTCATGAGGAACAAATCAACACAAAAGAACCTTACAGGGAAAACTAAACATCATGAATACACTAATTAGTGAAAGGCTAACACTACAGTGGGTGTACAGCTAATATCCCCAATAATATAATATCATGCTATCAGAAAAAGAAACTGAAATAAACGTTGTTAACTCATTTTACAAAACTAATCGTGCATCCACACATGCTCATCAGTTGTAAGCAAAAGCAATTTCTGCATTTGCTTGTTTCTTATTTATTGGCAACCAGAGCTGAAACAATTATTTGATTTATTGTGTTGTCAACGAGAAATATAAGCAACAATTTTTCATAATCAACTGTTAAAGTCATTTTTAAGGAAACACTTACAGTCTAAAATATTAATATGAACAGTTTTTTCTGTTTAAACTGAGTGTTGCCAGGTTTTGGACTGCTGCTCAAACAAAAATTATGGAAAATTATGAAGGCCATTATCAAAATGGTAAAGGTAACATCTATATTCTGTTCTTCTTCCAAATTGAATTATTGTAATTTAATACTGTCTGTAAAAGTACGCCTACATATACGCTACAGAGGCGTTTTTGATGTATAGAAAGTGTACGAAAACATTCTAAAAATGTACAGGAAACTCATGGAAACACAAAGTACACAGTACAGATACACTGTGTGCTGTGCCAAACTGTACTGCGTCAACACAAGGACTGTAATCACAAACAGCAGACTGACACCTTCCAATGACATCATAAGCCAAGGGGATCTGTCATGGCATGTGTGAGGGAGTGAACTTTGAAGACGTCTGTGCCCACTCAGCACACTTTGACTGTCTACAGCTAAACTGGGACAAGAGGAACCGTGTAATTACTGCAAGTTTCTGACAAAATCTGCACTTAGAGTGATCGTGTTTGCAGTTACTGACAAAATATGCACATGCACATTGGCCTACAGTATTTATACAGTGCGCAGAAGTGACAGACCCCAACCTACAGAACTGAAATAGCTGCTGTCATCTTACTCACTAACAGTACGTATGTAAACACTGGATCAGTCTTGCTGAGTGCATCAGTATGTGTTCTCATAGCAGACTGTAGATTTAAAGTTGATGTTGTTATGGTTGAACTGGATACCTTAGTCACGACCTTGAATGATAAGATATTCTTCAGCCCATGAAAAGACCAAAATCAATTAATCAATCCTACTAAGTATTCCAAAGCCTGATATAGTTTATTCCTCTGTGCATAGACCTCCATAATTGTCACGAAACTATTAAAAACACATCACTAAGCTGCACCATTGGGCTGTGTGATATGTTCCTTCATTACATGGAACTGATCAACATTGATCTGTTTCCCATTTCAAGTCAATCCCACATACACTGTCCTACTGCTGTTAATACGGAATAGTCCCCAACAAATGAACTATTTATTCCTGTGTGAATAACATTTGCCAAGTGTTACTGAAACTACAGTGCTCACCTGTTTTAGGAAATAATTTCTTAATTACTTTTTAAAAAATGAAAGTTCATATCCATGACCCATTTTTCAAAGATTCCTTTTAAACAAATGGGCTGAGGGCTGAAAACCACAGACAGGCTGGGGACATCTATTGAGAGACTGACAAGCACATTGTTGGTTTTGGCCTCATCATGTGCCTCGTTGTCACATATCACCAGAATTATACTTCCATTTCAGTGAAAACAGTAAGCAAGCACCAGTGAGCAACCTAAACGTTGTGCTTTAAATTTTGTGTGTCATGCTGTACATGTCTGTAACCTGATGCTCAACATGGCCACCAGAGGGCAGCATCAACATGTGATGTAAAATGTGTGCCTTTGTTTTAATTGAATTCTGGCGACAAAAATCTGCTCACGCATTCATATTGTGGGGGATTCAACTCCCATGTATATGCAATGCAAATCTGCTCCAAACAAGGTTAACTGTTTATTTAAGGATTCAGCTTGTGACCTGGGGTAGGAGTAAGCACTTACACTGTGTAGAGTGAGAGTGTTATATACTGTTCAGTACAGACAGAGTATACAGACTTACTGTGATGGTGCACCATTGTGCAGCTGATTGTTGTGCTGTGCTGTGAGTAATTGTCAGCAGTAAGTTGTGATGGTGTATCACCCTGATAGACTGCTGATTAGACAGAACATCCTGTCCAAAGTCTGTCCTACTGAAGTATGACTGTACACTCCCTACATGCTCATTAGGTGTTTGCTCATTGTATAAAATTAATCAGGCCAAGAGCAAGATCTAAAGTACACAGTGTGGGCAAAAGCAGTAGAGGTTAGACAAGCTTATTACTCATAGCTTTGAATCCCAGGATTTGGGGAGGTAAGGCTCTTTTATCCCTCAAACAGTCAACAAAGCACAACTCCTCAGTGCCTACTGGTTGACTCCTAACGTTGCACTAGGCAGCTGCGTGTGGTGTATTGTTGCTAATCTGAAGAAAACAAACACAAATTGTAGAACGATTTTTTTTTTTGTACCTGTGCATATAAAACTGGGGCTGCCTCCGTGAATGAGATCATCATTGTCGGGCAGGATGAAGGGGCACCGCTGCTGCACCTCCAGGCAGTACTGACCACAGGGGATTGGCTTGCTGCAGTGCATCTGGGTGGTCTGGAAGTACTGAGAACACAGCCAGGGCTTATAAACCATCTAGGTGGGAGACAGAAAGGTGAGGGGGAGGGGGTGGGGGTGACAGAGAGAGGATATTGATGAGTTAAGGAGGGTTTGGAGGATACGCATACACGCATGCACACTCTCACATGTACGTGCATCATCTATGACCTCTAGAGCTATTGATTCACACAGCACTGAGCAGATATCCTGCTGATTCTGATATCTACTGTTTAATGAACGTGGCTGTTGCTGGGCAGTCGTCCCTTTGTCAGTCAACCTCCTCTTCGGAACAGCTGAGCGTTACTGTTTACTGTGCCTGCATTTCTATTGTTTTCAGAAGGATTGTTTTTGTATGCAGTGGTCCTCAAATGGAGGAGTGCAAGACATGTCATTCACTATCACCGCATACAGTATGAGTAACATTTAAAGCACCAGAGGAACTGTAACTCATTTTACAAGCCTTGAAGTCACAATTTATAACAGTAACCCTAATATAAACAAATGAGTGTCACCGCCATAAAATGTCTAGTTACATTAGAAACTTGGCATTGTCGCAACAGTGCAGAGACTCCCTTCAGAAAACAATTAAATCAAAGTTAAAGTAGTATTGTTTTCTGCAATTGCAAGGCTTTGTTTATATCAGTAATGTTTTTTAACAAGAGTAAAATGCTCCAACAGTATAACAATCAATTATGATCCAGAGAATCAAGCAATAGTTGTCTCAGTGGCAAACACCGAAAGCTAAATGTAGAATTTTCACAAATACATTTCATCTTTTATTCAAGTGACGATCAGGAAAACAACAACAAAATAGTTTGTGTGTGCCAGAAATGCAAGAAGATAAAACAGTAAAAACAGTCATGTGTCTGAACCATGGGCTAAGAGGAGTCATCCTCTTTTAATAAAGATGACCAAAGAAGACAGTCAGCAGTGTTAGATAGGCTACACTAGGCTACACGCATGCATTGAATTCTATCAATTTCTCGTGCGCAGGTATGCAATTTAAAACCTGCATGGGAAAGGCGGACTCTGCCATGAACAACTATTATAAAAAGAGAAAATTACAGTGAATGGCCACAACTACCAGATTGGTGACAGCTCTTTCAATACAAAATTACTAGTAGATAACAGATCGATTTATTAATGTCGCTGTTAGCTTTGTTCATGTCCGTTATATTTTGAATTTGGTCAAAACTATATTACGTAATGTTGATGTTTGTGTGTAGTAATTTGTTAATCTTTTTCTCACCCATTTTCTCAACTCTACAAGTGCACAAGTGGGGGCAAATGATTTGGTTAGCACCTTATGTTTCTTTTCTCATGTGATAAGGTGGTTGCCTCATTGTGTGGCATTATCACCTGCAGCAATTAGCTATTTCCTGTGAACCTCTCCAGCGACTGAGTGGCAAGTTAGCACCTGCTGTGAGTTAATCATCATGCCTAAAAACAGTGCAGCAAACCATAGATCCTATCACCTCTCCATGTAGACATTTGACGTCTGTGTGTGTGTGTGTGTGTGTGTATGTGTGTAAAAAGGGAACAAAAAAAGACTATGATGTACAGTATAAATACAAAAGTTTGCACTGCAAATCATATGAGCTGAACTATGGTAACAAAGTGGAGAGGACAGGAAAAACAAATAAATACAACACAATCATAATGTTGTTTAAATCATCAAACATCTTTGCGCATCTTGCAACATTTTTGCACAAACAAGCTGCTGACATTTTCCTCTTGGCCTCTTACTCATCCTCTTTTTTTTCTCTCCTTAATGCTTCTCTGTAATATGACCTAAATTTATGTTTCATTTTACACTCTGCACTCTGTACTCTAAATATACTGTAAATAAGCAAAGGAGAATGCAATATGTGATTGAAATGAGGACAAAAAACTAAATACAATGCATTATTGTTATGCATGGTTCATGTTTGCAAATTATTTAGAATTTGAGTGAGGGCAAATTGCCCTAAGTTAAAATATTAACAATCATCATTACTGTGACAAGAAGCTATTGCCTCTCAGCTATCCGTTATGGTCATAAAGGCCACAGTGACATGTCGTAGTGCAGCATCTGAAATGTATTCTATCATTGTATATTATGGTATAAATAATGCTTCAAAGTAACATAGTAACATCTGGGTTGCAACACCTGCCACGGATATTGTAGACTCAGATGTACAGACTATTTACATGATTGAACATGTGCACATACAGAGACTGTGCACACATTCATAGATACTGCACAGTAAATTGCTGTGTGCTAATAATTAGATTTCCAGCTGAAGATAAGGTTGGTTCCTGAGGATACACCCCCTTCCACACACACACACACACACATACGCACACACACACACACACACACACACACACACACACACACACACACTGCCCTTCTCTCTAATCCGTTATCACTATGTAAATGTCACAGATGAAAATGTGGTCACATGACACTCTGTCACATCTTGTACACATTAGAGCTGATATTTCAAAATTACTAACAAACCGTGTACATTTATGTGTGTGTGTGTGTGCGTGTGTGTGTGTGTGTGTCTGTGAACTTGGAAGAAAGGCATGTGTGAGAGGACACTCGTCTTTTCCGGTTTTGCTTGTGCAACACATTTTCCATTTCATGTCCTGCTGTTCTCGGTGTTTAGACAACTGCTCATCCTGTAGCTGTCAGGATGGGAATATAAAGACGAACCGGACCAAACACTGGCTTTTTCTCTCATTCTGCAAGGTATCACATTACACTAACAATGTCAGTGGTAATGAGTATCAAGTAGTATTTGTCTTGGTATTTATCAGACATTTCCCCTGCTCAGCAGAATGACAGAACAACTTGCACCGAGGCTCAGACATAAATGAAAAAAAAAAAAAAAAAAAATCAAAGGCTGAATAATCAATAACAACTGAAGACATTATCTTTAAATGCCACCTACAGCAACATCCTAGCTTTGACTTGAGCCTAGAAAAGGTCTCACCCATCTGTTTCATGTCCTTACATCCTTATTCCATCTGTTTAGTAACAGTTACTTACAAGGACAAAGAACTACAGTAAGTCAGATCTAGGTGGCACCTAGACCATGCAAGTTGAACAAAAAAGGGCAAGCGCGCCCTGTGAGCCTGGCAGTCAGAATTAACATCTGTCTCAGATGCAACAGATGTGGTGTAAAAACCACAGCTCTCTTTGGCCCTTTGCCACACAGTTGTGTCCTCTTGCACTCAGCGGCAGTTAGTAAAGCCCATTGCTGCGGCATACGAGATCTCTACTCCCTCAACCATCAGTCTACTCTAGACCCATGAAGTAATTTATCATCCTGCTGTCAGAGAGGGAGAGCAAGGCAGCAAGTGAGAGGGATAGGGAGAGGAGCGTCATTATATAGATAGTGGTAGGATGGGCTTTCTCTCATTTATATAACTTTTTCCTATCTGGTGTGTTCTTGCAACCCCTCAGGGAAAGAGTGAAATACTGCCTTCTCCTCAATCACAGAGTCAGTGAGTTAGAGGTCAGCCAGCTGGCTCTCAAATTTCTGTTCTCCTTTTGCTGTCACTTTTCACTTCCTTTTACATCTCTCATTTGCTTCTGTTGTTTTACTGTAACTCCTGTCATTGTGCTCTCTCCAGCGTTTCCCCTAGGACTTTTCACGCATGTGAAATTTTTTTGGTTATGTGTGCTCACAAAGCGCACCCTGCCGGGAGGTTTCTATATATCTGCCAGCACCAGAAGGGCTCTTGAGGCCTAAGTACATACACTACATTTTTTCACCATAATCAGCTGGGGAAATGTCTGTCTATCTTAAATATGAGGTGTCTCACGATTTTGGAAAATACACCTTCCTTGAAAATATTAAAAGTATTATCTATACAATAATTACTGATATTTATTGAAGCAAAAATATATTAGATAACTGCTAGCTAGCTGTCATTCATTCTTCCAATTGTTCATTTTTTTCCCCAGAATGACCTGTTGTATAATCAAACATTTAAATGACATTTTGGATGATAAAAATAACTTGCATTAATGAAATTTCTTAAAGGATCAAGAGCACTGTGATGTAAATGTGCCCCATGGTTCATTTTCAAAGAAATACTGGTCTGACTCACTAATTAGTTACAATCATTTCTACTTTGCAGTTTTGTCTATCACTGTAAGGGTTAGGCTTTTAATGTGAAATATCTATGCAGGAAGTATGATCCAAAAAAAAAAGAAGAAAGACATGGTGATATTCAACCAACTGGAATTTATCAGTGAGTGAAAACAAGATATGTGATTAAAAGATAAACTCAGATCATGACACTGATGTACAGATGGGATTAGAAGAATGGGTTAATTTAACAGGTTAACACGAAGGAGCTTTTGAGTTTATATTAGCAGCAAAATGGGAACAGATCAGAAAACAAGCAAATATTTTTACAAAAATATGATAAAATATTATTCCTCCGCACATAAATCGTCTTTTGTTTTACCATTCTTCATTTTCTATGCTAGGTTTTCATGTAAAATAGCAGTTAATCAAAGGGTTGGTAGATTCCTGACTTCGCCTGTCCACATGTTTAAGTGTCCCTGAGAAAGACACTGATTCTCAAATTGCTTCCAATGTCTGTATGTGAGGGGAAAAATGATTTTACTTTGGATAAAAGAATGAAGGTATGTAAATGTAATACATGTAAATGAATAGATGTGATGTAAGAGACAGTCTCTATTAACACAAAGAACAAATGTATGGACTTGGTTAGACTAGGCTGAACATTCTCCATCTGCCTTAGATGGCCACAAATCTATATTCCAAAGCAAATGCTTCAGTTCAGTTGCAATTTACAAAAGCAACAAGGTATTCAGAGGTGGAATGAATGCAAACAAAGTCAATGGAAAGAAGAGAACGGAGATGAATCAATGCAGATGTACTGTTTAAAGAAAGATATCAACAGAAAGGGGAAAGTCTTGAGGAAAATAACAGAAAGCGGATCTCCTAATTAATCTGAATATCAGTCCGTGTGCTCTCACGTGTCACGCACAGTGTTGGTGTTTTTTACCA